AGCCTGCCCAAGGAAGAAAGAACAACCAGGGCTATATTCACCTCTATGTTAGGTAGCCTCCTCACTAAACACAAGTAAGAGCTAGCTTGCATTGAGAATGAGGGACTATCCTTCGGATATCCTTACTTACCTACCCTGGCAATATGAATATAAGAAAAAGAATCCAAATTCCAATGATTACACAGCAGGTTGGGTTAGGTCGCTCCGTTCTCTTTCTATGCTATGCTGACTGGGAGTCGACGTACTTCCTTCTTGCTTTGACACTACAGTGGGGTCAGAAGAAGCTCGCTGCCGGATAGAGCTTCAGTTTTGAATCCCTAGAAGGGGGGAAAACTGCGATTCAAAATCCTAGCTGTTATCTTGGGACCCTTGCTTCACTTACTTCTTTCCCTACCCACGCTCTCATGCATGGACAAAGGAGCGAATCCTACCAAATCTATGAATAGAAAACTGAAAAGGAACCTCCCATTTGAAAGACTCCTTTTCGGCTCATACATACCATCCTTGAGTTCGCTGCTAAACGAAGACGGGAAGGAAAAAGATCGATTCGGTTTGGACGCTCATCTCAGACAGCTGGTAAGGCTGACAGAGACCGTTTCATAGTCAGAATCCTATCCCGAGAATGAAAGAATAGACGAACAGATCCTCAAATGGCGACGTATATAAAGAAGTGGCCGGTTCCTCACAAACTTCATTTCTCGAGTTGCCGAAGCTGAGCTTGAAGAGCTTGTTCTCTCCACTCTTGCTGCTTTCTTTGCTATTGCTTCTGTTGAATGGTTGAGGGATGAAGGGCGAGTACAGTCTCTTGATCCTCTATACCTGCCCGACTTGGGCATTTAGCTACGAGAAGAACTAATCCCCCTTTATCCCGCTCGAGTGGGAATATAGGAAGCTAGGGAGCTAGGTGAATACCCCGATGAGACCCTTCTTTTAACCCGACCTGAAAAGGAATAGTTTTATTTCACTCTTTCACCTCGTTCAAGCGGCATTCATCTTAGCAAGACTCTTTCTTCAGACTCCCTTCTGTCGCTCGACATAACTACACTATCCGGAATTATCCTATAAAAGCTCAGGAGCTACATATGCTCTGCCCTTTCGCTTTCCGACCCCTCTTTCTTCTCTTCAAAGCTAGCCGAAGAGCAGATTCGGTGTCAAAGAGAGAGAGATAATTGTGACAACTAAAGACTAGTTGCGCTTCTTCCTCTCCAAAAGGTTCCATTCCAGACCTAGGGCATTCCTCTCTATAAATTCCTTATTGTTGAGGGATTTCACAAGGTCTTCTGTCCATTTACAGAAAGCAAGCTATTCTGATCTACGACCACCCTTTATCCAATAGCAAAAGAGTAAGAAGACATGTGCTACGCTACTCTAGCCAGTCGAATGAAAAAGGGGAGTGGAAATGGAATGGATTGAATCACAACTGCTAGTGAAAAGATCGGCATAAAGGAGAAGGGATTAGCAATAGCTAAAAAAAGAAGTGGCCATCGTATACTAGGTTTGCCAAGGATCCGAAGAACCGGCGGATAACTGAATGGTCTTTGTCAGTATTCGACCAGGTTATAGGTCCGAAGCTACCAACGTAAAATAGAGTCTTAGGTAGCGAAATGGAATCTATCGTCGTCCGTAAAGTAAGTAGCTCAACAAGTAGTGAATCTCTTTCATAGCCGACCGGGTTGTTAGCTGGGGCAACGAAGCCGATAGTGGAGTTCAGGATTGATCATCTAAGGCCGCAACAAAACAGATTGTTGCACCCTTTCCCGCTGTCGTTCTCAGATGAAAGATACGAAAGGTACGGAGTAACTCGACTGACAGGGTCTCCTTTTCCTGTTCTTTCTACGAGGGTCTTATTGTTGTTGGTTTGTTCTGTTGTTCGGAATTACTGAGTAGGCTAATACAGCTAAAGTTGGGCAAAACCATACCGCGCTTTCCCTAAAGGACTGTTCCCTTTCAGTGGGACTGGGGCCATACCCGATAAGGGCACACAACTGGCATCTCAAAAGGCATCGAAGCAGTGGATCTAGTGGACTTTGAATCCGTATCTTGCTATGAAGTCGGAACTGACGTAACTACACCTTTCATCCCGTCACTCAAGCATCACGTAGCTAGATCGCGCACCCTTTAGTGTTCTATCGCGTTCCCGTATCGGTCGCCTCCACTTGCTCCTTTGTTTGCCCCCCTGACTCTAATAGGCGGTAGCAAGCTAAAGCTTTTCTATATAGATGTATATATGAATAATGTGATCAGCCTTGCTGCTTTCAACTCTGATCGCATAAAGGCATAGATTTGATTAAGATCAGAGCTATAACTCATCGATACTCGCTAGAGCCGAAGGCGGAGCTAGACCCTTCGGAGAGAGACTCAACCGCTAAAGCTAGCAAATTGATTCAGTAACCGGTGCCGCTCTTCTCTCTTTATTTTCCCACTACGCGCTAAGAAGGAAGGTGGGGATCTTAGTCTCAATCATAGCTTTTAGAAGCTAAGCAAGTCAGGCTTTTTTCGAAAAAAAGAAGATTGCTTCGACTTCAAACATGACATTACATGTCATGCTTAACACAGAAGAATCCAATGTTAGAAAAAGTGAACGAAGGACCAAGGAGGATTCATGAGCAGAAGGAGGAGGAGTAGGAGCGTAAGCCACTCGACAGGAGAGGAGCGAAGACAGACAGAATCGAAGCGAAAAAATTAGTTCATGCCACGACGATCTATATGGAAGGGAAGTTTTGTTGATGCATTCCTCTTGAGAATGAAAAAGAAGAGAGATCTTATTTTTGAACAGGAAAATTTGGTCACGTAGATCTTCTATTTCGCCGGAATTCGTTGATTGCTCCGTACGAATTTACAATGGAAAAACTCCTGTTCGTTGTAAGATTACTGAAGGAAAGGTTGGTCATAAATTTGGAGAGTTTGCTTTTACACGAAAACGAAGACCTTCGAGAACAAATATTGGACGGGGAATAAAAAAGGGGAAAAAGTGAAGTCTAAGCGCATATGGCACGCAAAGGAAATCCGATTTCGGTAAGACGTGATCTGAATCGTAGTTCAGATTCAAGTTGGTTTAGTGAGGGCGACCGCGAAAGTAACCGAATGGCTCAGTCTTTTAGTTGTCCCAGATTAGAATCTAAAAGGAGGACGTTGCAGATGCCCGGGGCGGACACGACTTCTTCTAAGGCTAGAAGACCACTGGAAGACACCCAGGACTATAGCATGTCGTGAAAGAAGCACACTGGGCGGGCGTGCTTCGACCGTGTCTCCGGGGCACAGTTGAATGTAAATATCATGAACGCGAGGTGCAGGATACCAGGCCGAGAAACCCGGGCAACCACTCCCCTATGTGCCAATCGCTAGCGCATCCAGGGCCCCGGCGCCCAGCTCAGCTGGAGAGGCCTAGCCTGATCTGAGAAGTGCTAATTCGGTTCGGATAGACTTCATTAAAGAATGCCACCGCCCCTGGGAAAACAAGTGCTCAGTTTCAGATCAGTGAATAAACCGAAACGAAAGAAGAGACGTTTCTCGCTCGGCGCCTAAAGCGCACTATGCTCCGCTTCAACAAATGAGAGTTTTCGGTGGAACCGGTGAACCACGCGAGCTGGTTAGATGCGTGGGACAGAGGGCTCGTAGTACCTGCTAGCGCGGCTACGCAGTGGAAGGGAAGGAGCCTAAATCGACCCCTCCTCTTTTTTTTAAAAAGCAGTAAGGAGATTTGACTCTCGGATGATACTAAGCAGCTACCGATCGTTCCGACGCGCCCTTGACCTATTTTGATTCAGACCAAAAACAAACCTATCTATAAAGGTTTCAGCCAAGTGATGATTTCATGAAAGAAAAACCACTAGTAGGGATATGGATGGAGTCTCGCTCAGTCAAGAGAGTTGTAGGATTCGTAATTGAGAAGCGGTTAAGAGCCTTTACTTTCAAATGACAACTGCTTCTTCCTGCTGCGAGGGCGTTGCACGAAACCAAACCGCCCCCCGCCCGATCAAGTACCAGTTGCTTCGCAGGTAGGCCCACTTAGGTTAGGGGGCATTGCCCCTCAGTTCTTACCAACCTCCGGTGTGTAATCGACATGTTTCTAGCTAGAACTCGGTCGAATAATAATCATTGATTTCCTCTGCTGTAAATTGATTATTCATTCATTGCGCTCGGCCTTCGCTCCTCTCCTTATCAGTCGAGTGGCTTCCGCTCCTTTCTCATCTCAAACCAGAACGACTTTGAACGTTAGGGAAGACCGCCTGAGCGAAGGGACTTGACTTATCCGAACCGAACGATAGCAGCTTCAAGCTAAGCCTATCACGAGCAGCGTCGCTCCTTGATCGGCGGGGAGGAGCATATAAAAGTATGGGGCAAAGGATCAAGCGCTTTGACTTTGTCTCCCGGGATCCATCACAGGTTGGGTTTGAGAGCCGTGTGATGGGTGACTATCCAGCACGGTTCGGAGAGCACTTTGAGTCTGCGCTGGTGAATGGAAGCCTCCCCTATCAAGCAAGAAGGAAGCGGCTCTTCCCACGGCGGAGTCACCATTGACTCTATTTATTATTATGGTAAATCAGTGTATCAAGATGTCAATCTGAGATCTTATTTCGGTTCGATACGTCCACCTACGAGACTCACCTTTGGCTTTCGTCTCGGTAGGTGTATTATTCTACATTTTCCCAAAAGAACTTTCATTCATTTATTTATTCCCCGTCTACCACGACGACAAAAACGACGTGAAAAAGCCAGACCCGGAAAGGAGAAGGGCCGGTTTTTTGGGGGGGGCATTTGGGAAAGTCGGGCCGATCGGGTGTCTTCATTCAAGCGACGGTACAGAAGAAGAACGAAACGAAGTGAGAGGCCGGGGGGCAGGGAAAAGAGTCGAGTCGATCAGGCTCGACGATCGGGAGAAGCAAAACGAAATCAGGATTTGGCCGAAAAAGAAGCAAGGCTATGGATACCATGACAAATCACCATCGATAAAGAAGACTCTTTCTAAATCACTTCGGGTCAGCGGGGCCTTCAAGCATCCGAAATACGCCGGGATTGTAAATGACATAGCGTTCCTTATAAAAAATGACGAAAAAACTAAGTTATTCAAGTTCTTTTTCCCAAATAAGTCCCGCTCCGACCGCCCGACGAGTCATCTACTTAAAAGGACCCTCCCTGCAGTGCGCCCTTCCTTTAATTATTCGGTCATGCAATACTTATTGAATACAAAGAAAAAAATGAATTTAGACCCCGTCGTAGTTATAAATCATTTCGTGGCACCGGGCGTGGCTGAACCATCTACGATGGGGGGACAGGAAAGAAGCTTAGATAAGAGAATACGTTCTCGCATCGCTTTTTTTGTAGAAAGCTCGACCAGCGAGAAAAAGTGTTTGGCCGAAGCCAAAAATAGGTTGATCCACTTTATTCGCCAAGCGAATGATCTTCGCTTCGCGGGAACAACAAAAACCACCATCTCGCTCTTTTCCTTTCTTCGGTGCTACCTTTTTTTTTCCAAGGGATGGGGTTGGGGTGCAGAATCACCTTTTTTCCGAGGATGCCCGGGAACAACTACAACTCCTAGGTCAATTAAGGAGAAAATATTGTAACCCCATGAGTCTCATGAGTAAGGATAAGGTAATGGAATTGATAGATCATTTCATAGACCTAGGTAGGATAGGAGAATTGATAAAGGGAATAGAGATGATGATAGAGATCATACTGAGAAACAGAAGAATTCCGTACGGGTACAACTCTTATTTGAACGAAGTGAAAAAAAATAAGATCTTTGTTGTCTAATAGAACAAACACTAATACCTTAATTGAATCAGTCAAGATCCAATCTGTTTATCAAAGTGCTTCTCCGATTGCTCAAGACATCTCTTTTCAACCGAGGAACAAAACAAGATCATTTCGTTCCATTTTTAGTCAAATAGTGAAGGATATTCCATTAGTAATGAAAAAGGGGGTGGAGGGGATCCGTATATGTTGTTCAGGTCGATTAAAAGGTCTAGAAATAGCTAGAACTGAATGCGGAAAGTATGGAAAAACATCTCGTAATGTATTTCACCAGAAAATAGATTATGCTCCTGCGGAAGTATCTACTCGTTACGGAATCTCAGGTGTCAAAGTGTGGATTTCATATAGTAAAAAAAAAGGGGGACGTGCTATATCCGAAACGTACGAAATATAGTAAATATCGTAAAGGCAGATGTAGTAGGGGTTGCAAACCGGACGGTACACAACTTGGTTTTGGAAGATATGGCACTAAAAGTTGTAGAGCTGGTCGTCTTTCATATCGAGCCATTGAAGCAGCGCGTCGTGCTATAATCGGACACTTCCATCGTGCTATGAGCGGACAATTCCGAAGAAATGGTAAGATATGGGTAAGAGTTTTCGCAGATATCCCTATTACCGGGAAACCTACAGAAGTAAGAATGGGAAGAGGAAAAGGAAATCCTACGGGTTGGATTGCTCGTGTGTCCACGGGACAAATCCTATTTGAAATGGAGGGTGTGAGTTTGTCAAACGCTCGACAAGCCGCTAGATTAGCGGCGCATAAACTATGTTCGTCAACCAAGTTTGTTCAGTGGTCGTAAGCTAATTAGTTAGTGGGGAAATGAAAAAGAATTAGGCGAAGTGTTTGTTCCTGAACGAGGGAAGTGGAAAGACACTAAGGGAGAGGGATATACTCCTTTTTAGAATCGCCGAAATTGTACGACTGTTCCAGGCGTACGACCCGGATACGTTCAGGTTTCTTTATTCCGGACCGGTTTCTGTAGTAAGAATAAATAAGAAAGAGAAGAGCGGAAAGTAAGTTTTTTCAGTCAAACTAAAGTAAGTGGGCTACTCAAACTCTTGAACAAGCGGGGCATCTCCTCGAGTTGCGAAAGGGGCTGCAAGTGAAATTGCTGATGTTCGTTATGCTACTGAAGTGTCTCAAGCTGCTCAGTACTCCACTTCCTTAAATACATCCATACTTATTTAGGTGAGAAAGACGTACCGATTGAAGAGTGAAAGTACCCTCTCAAGCCTTTTTTCTTTGTCAGATCAGAGCCCTGCAACAAGCAACGGCGGAGGACCAAGAAACTACCCGACCCCCGTACATCTGTAACAGTGACAATGGTATTATTGAAACTAGCTTGAACATGAATGACTCCCTTTGGTATTATACGTGCACTCTTACGTGAACCAATACGTCCATTCCTACGCGAACTAATTCTCGGTATAGCTTTTGCCATATTTCCATACTCACACCCCATTCTGAGGCTAATGCTTGGTCCGGTTTTGTGTACTAGAGAGATTAGATTCTAATTATAACCGCCAGGGCACTCCACTAGATGAATTACCCAAAGTCAAGTACAGGACAGGAAACTCAAGACTAAATAGCTGTTTCAAAGGATTCAAAAAAGGCAACTATTCTAGCTGATCTGAGATCTACGCATTATCACTCTTTGGAAATTGGAAATAACCGAGTATATATTACAAGATTCTTCACTGCAAGCATTGCTATTCATTCGGCCGTCCTTGGCGTTGAGCGCTCTTCAAACCTGAGATTTCAACCGGATATCGCCTAAATGAAAAAAGGAAGCAGCCCTTTCTATATGTGCAGGCTCGCGAGAAAGTCTTTGGTCATTAACGACCTCCTCCCCGCCCCGCAAACGTTGGCCGAAAGGCTCTTATCTTCCATGGATCACTAATCCACCACTATCCATCTTCACTTTGACAATAGGAAGATAGCTCTCCCTTCCCTCTCCGCCAGTACTTTCCTCTCGGGCCTTCCCTGACCATAATGACTCAAGTTCTATTCTTTTTGCAATTAGTGATCGAAGAACCTTAAGGTGAAGGTGCCGCCTACAACACCTATCACCCATACCAGTAAAAGATCTTTGTAGTTCCTGGCAGACTGACTGGAATGAAAAAGCATAGGAAGAGGTAAGTGAAAAGGGGTAATGAAGGACTTTTCGCCTGTCTCTCTAGATTAGCCTATTCTTTCTTTTTTATCGGTGGGGATAATCCGTCCGGTAGCTCATTCCTATTGATTCGCCTAAGTTCCTAAAGATCCCTCTTTCATCGGCATTGAACCTAACTAGCAGGTCTCATCTGACTGTTCCTATCCCCGGGATAGGCGGATAATAGCTACTCTTGTGCAAAAAAGTCTGGAATGCCAAGTGCGCTTACCAGCATTCCTATCAATGAAAGATGAGCCTCTATAACTGAACATAAGAAAATGGAATCTAAGCCTCGCCGTCCTCTTGATCGAGAACCCGGATTGCTCGAGCCGGCGAGAAAGATGGTTCTATAGATGCAAGGGGGTGCCTATCGACAAAAAGAGACTTTGGATGAGCCGGGGGAAGAACCTTTAGATGCAAGAGATCGATTCAATAGGATATTTCGAGGCTAAAAAAACTTTCCCTTTCGTGCCCAGATGAGGAGGGAAGTCGTTCATTTCTTCCCCAATATAGGACTGTTCCCAGTGCCCGCGGCACTCGTCGCCCGGTCTACCACGCTAAAGCAATGACACATCGGCCTCTACCGTATCGCATTCTCGCACATGCATAGGTGATAGTGAGATCCTGGGCCAAACACCATCCTTTTCAGCCCTTTCCTTTGTCTCACAATGCCCTCTTGGCAACGTAAGCCATCAGGCGTCTGCACAATGCACGACGGACCACAGCCAACTTCCCAATCTGCGTCCTTCAAGCTGCCATCGAAGCCCAAAGCCTATGGGTCGTTCAAGACCATGCCGACTCGTTTTCCCGAACGATCGCTGCCCACTCTGCAACGAGACCTCAAGGTGCCAGCTGCATCGTAACACAAGTCCTCCCACCAGGCCACAATTCATTCGACGGTCTGAACTCTTGACACCGGTTTGGCATCAATGTTTTCTCAATGAGCTAGAACATCCGAATGCCAAGTTCCAATCAGCCAGCATCATTCCTGTTCCGCTTTAGCTTATCAAGCTCTGCACTGACACCACGCCCTTGGTATAAACATTTTCCGAGGTGATGGCAACTCGGTATGCGGAAGGATCATCACATCCAATAACTAATACCTTTCGTTGCCTGACAGTGAAGGTCTGTTCTGTTGCTGAAGCGTGAGGGAACGTCGAAGCTCGAGGCAAGTTGTGCCATGGAAATAAAGATTTCCTTGCTCGTATTTTCCAGCCAGTTCGGTTTGCCTACTTCAATAAGTTACCAGAAGGGCTTCTCCCAACTCAACGTTAGCAAGGAAGTTCCAATTTACTTAGTAATGACGTCTGGAGGAATTGATTTTAGCTTTAAGCTAGCTCAACGGGCTTGACCCTCTTTATAAAGCGGAGTTAGAGTCATCATCCTATGAAGCATCAAATTCAAAGGCAGAAGAATAAACATAGACTTAATACGCTGAAATAGAAGCATAAGCGTAAGAGGATAAGTAGGACTGTCTTTCCAGATCCACCGAGATGAGATATGCCTTGCCTGCAGGCGAGATTGAAATCTTAATGCAATAACCGTAAGTAGTTCGTCAGCAAAATACGTTATTCTATTTTCATGTTTAGAATTGCCTGATCGCCCGATCGTGATGAACCTTTGGGCATCGCTAATAACAGCATAGTCATGCCATAATAGAATCGCGGAAAGCCTGAAATAGTTTGTCAAAGGCGAACAAAGTGAGAGGTGAATTCGAAAGAATTGACTTCCTGTACATTTGAATGTGTGGATTGGCACTGCGTGTAAGGGATAGGCAGAATACCCATTCGAGGTCAAGGTGGATGGACCAATCCAAAGCGTTAAGAAAGATGGGCTTCCTTAGAAGTTTGAGCAAGGGAGGTTGGTTTTCCTTCTTTATTTTGTCGGTCCGAGGGCAGGACTGTACAGTTCTTATCCAATGTCCTATGTGGCTCGCAATAAAGCGCTTTCGCTTAATCAAACGAGAGTTGAAAACCTCACTCACTACATCATTCAAGATGATGCAGTTTTTCAAATTGAAAGGGATTATCTGCATTTTTTCTTTGATTCCGCCCGTAGGCGCTTACAAATAAGTAAGAAGCAGGTCCGATAGTGTGAAGGGATAACTTGGTACAACTCTCATGTGGACGTCCTGCTTGATACAAGCAATCAGTAGAAAATAACACAATAGGCAGAGGCTATTAGTCAAGCGGGCGATTCCCTTAGGAATTGAGTGAATATGATACCTTCTATTCTATTGATCTGGAATTGGGCCAATACGATTGATAGGTAGTCGCCTTTTCAGGTAATGGGCTAGAGGATTTCACCTCTGTCCACGCGTGGACTAGACCGATTGGAAGGCCGGGTAAGGCAAAAAGACTGGTATTACTCTCCTAGAAGAATGGACGTGTAGAAGCATCTCGATTAGTTTATACCATTTCTAATTGTAAACGTGCCAGGATTGTTTATGCTCTGCTTGTACACAAGAAGTAGAATCCAGCCAGCTTCATTATTAGGAGTATGGTATGCCAGGCTTTTGGATGATCATAGGCCCTCAGATAATGATTGATTGTGTCAGTGCATGATGATTAGATTTCCGAAATATATAAAAAGGCCTCCTCTTTCTTTATCTTTCCTATTGACATAGCAAAGTATGGTTCTATTGAGCGTGATACCCTCGCTATGGTGGCAATCTTTTCTTATAATCTAAATCAAAGCATTAGTAAAGTCACTTCCAAACCGAATATAAAGAAATGAAATAAGGATTGATGGCTGACTTACTGAGGCAAGCTCGTCCTGCAAAATGCTCTATGGCCGAGACTTCTTGGGGCGAGTGGTACTTAGGAGAGAGGTGCTGGCACCAAACCTCATATGAGGCCAGTTTTCTTGTGCCTAGGTGACCATCCAGGCACAAGATCATGATCTTGTACCGAGAGCTACTTTTCCTTTCTCCTACTGAACAAGTGAGGCTTGTCCGGGCAGAGAAGTGATTGCTAATCCACGCGGAAAGGCTTGTTATTACGAGAGTATACTACCCTAAAGGGGTATCATGCATTTCAAGTGAGTGTAGGGTCCAGCCCTAATATAGGCTCTTCTGTTAGTAATTCGGGGATTCATTCTGAAAAAAGAAGTCCAAGGGAGGCCCTAATCAAGCCTTTTTTCCGACGCTATACTAGAATGAAATAAAAAAGTATTTCATAATCTTAGAAATTGGAGTCGTTTAATGGATATGCAGGGTTCTGAGCTATTCTATAATCTATATACGGGGTCGCTCCTAGCGGAAAACTAATTTGTGGAGCCATACGCTCGATCCTGTGATTATGTG